TGTCCCCCCCCCCCCCCCCCCCCCGCCCTCCTCAAATTTCGCCTCCCTTCCCTCCCGCAGCACGTGTTGCTTTACCCGCTAGTGTCCAAGAGCCTGCGGAACATCGCAGCAGGGAAGGACCCGCTGGAGGGGCAGCGGCACTGCTGCAGCATTGCCCAGATGCACGAGCACTACTCCCTGGGGTACCCCGACCTCGACGAGCTCCAGAAGAACCCCCAGCCCCTCATCTTCGACATCGAGGTGCTGAAGGTGAGGTGCCAGCATGGGGAGCTCAGGGTGGAAGTGTCCAGGAAACACACAGATGTGGCATGTGGGACGTGGTTTAGTAGTGGCCGTGGCAGTGCAGGACTCGATGATCCTAGACGTCTTCTCCAACCTAAACAATTCCATGATCCTGTTCTCTGATTCCATGATGGGGTGCTGGCAGGTGGAGCCACCTGGCTCCTACCAGCAGGACCCATGGGCCATGACAGATGAGGAGAAGCTCCAGGCTGTTCCCCAGATCCACAAGGAAGGCAACGAGCTGTACCGGCAGGGCAAGGTGTCCGAGGCAGCTTCCAAATACTATGATGCCATCGCCTGTCTCAAGAACCTGCAGATGAAGGTGAGTCTCCCCAGATGCACACAGGCATTCCCAGGAATGCAGGGCTTGAGAGCTGCCCCTCACTCTCCCTGTTCTGTCTGCCACAGGAGCAACCGGGCTCTCCAGACTGGATTGAGCTCGACCAGAAGATCACACCCCTGCTCTTAAACTACTGCCAATGCAAGCTGCAGTGTGAGGAGTACTACGAGGTGCTGGACCACTGCTCCTCCATCCTCAACAAGTATGAGGGTAAGGAGCTATGAGCCATCCCAGGTGGCTGTGGCAGGCACCAGGAGACCCCCCCCATGCTCCACTGACGCTGGCTCTCTCCCCACAGACAATGTCAAGGCCTATTTCAAGCGGGGCAAGGCCCACGCAGCCGTGTGGAACGTGGCCGAGGCGCAGGCTGACTTTGCCAAAGTCCTGGCTCTCGACCCCTCGCTGCGCCCCGTGGTCTCCAAGGAGCTGCGGAGCCTGGAAGCGCGGCTGCGGGAGAAGGATGCCGAAGACAAGATCCGCTTCAAGGGCATCTTCTCCCAGTAGAGTCCGCAGCTGCAAGGGAGAGCCCAGTGCTCTCGGGACAGGTTCTTCTAGATATTCCACATGTGGAATGGTCATGGATGTTTATTAATGTTTAATACAGATTTTACTTATTTGAAGTCAGTGAAAATGGCCCCGGAGCTCGCCACGGATTGGGGACACAGCCAGGCACTTAGGTGGCAGCGTAAAGCATCGCAGCACACGGCTGAAGCTGTTCACTGGGCTCTAGACTCTGCTCATCGTCACACCAGAGATGCATGGGTGACAAGAGCCCGCTGCTCCCTGCCAACTTTTATCACTTATTTGATGTTTTTATACTTTATGATGGCCATGGAGGGGCAATGCCTCAGCCCCAGCTCCAACCCATTCATGCCTGTTCTCCTCCGTGCCACGCCATTGTCACTTCTCCAGGCTGCTGCTATCATCCCAAACCAGTGTCTCCTCCAATCATGTCAGTGTCGGGAATATTTTATATAGAATAACAGCTTGTTCCTGCTATCTCTATAAACCTCTGGTCATGCTATGCCAAGATAAACTCAAGTAAAACCAGTCACACCCCCTGGTCACTACAAAAATTTGCTGCTGGAGGTAAAGGAGGGGAAACCAAGTCGGAGATGGGGAGGGTATCGGCATAGCCCACACACCCCAGGCCCTTTTCCTGTCCTAAATTGCTTGTGACCCAACTGCTGTGTCCCACAGCCATCTCCCTGTGGGACATGGTGTCCCTGGAGGCTCCCAAGGACTTTCCCAGTCAGTGGGAACCTTGCTGCCACAAGCAAAGAGCAGACCCATGGGTGCTGGCACCTTGTCATAACATCTCTTTATTCAACACCGAAACGAAAGGGGGGGGAACAGAGGAACTGCTCTGGAACCCCAACCCAGCCCTGCCCCGCGACACCGGATGGAAATAAATAGGTGGGGAGGTGCCACTCGCACTGGGGCACAGCCACAGCCCCCAGTTCTGCACAGGGATAATGACCCTGGGGTGCAGACCCCACTGGGCACTGCCCAACTGCCTCAAAGGACCAGAGGGGACAGGGCTGGGGGCAACAGGGAGGACCCAGGGTGGCTCAGCCCTGAGGGGATCACTCTGGTCCTCTGGGGGGCTCTGAGCCATCTCCCAGCACCCCCCAATCTCAGGGGACCCAGCAGCCTCTTCTTCCTATGGCCTCATGGCCCAGCACTGGCTCTGTCCCCAGGTGCTCCTTGCTGGGAAATCAGGGATGTGGTGGAGGGGGGGACGTGGCCGTGCCACCCTCACTCCTCACCCTCCAGCTTGAGGCTGACACTGCGGGGCTTGGTCCGGGACAAGCCAGGGGGTGCTGAGGGGGGCCCCCCATCCCGCTCTGCCTGGCTGGAGCCGCGGGAGCGCAGCAGCTGGCTCTGCTTCCGCAGGAAGTCGACGGGCGCCGGGCAGCCATAGGTGCCTTTCCCCAGCACAGGTCGTGGGGGGCCCTTGGGGGAGTTGGCCAGGGCTGCGGCTTCCAGCTGGGCCAGATGGGCAACATAACCCTCGGAGAGGAACTGCAGGACACACAGACAGCCTCAGGCGGTGGCCACGGCCGGCTGGTGAGGTCAGCCCTTGTCCCCTGCATCCCCAGGCTGTCCCCAGCCCTGCCACCACCATACCTGGCACTGGTTGTGGAACTTCTTGACGGCCCGTCCCACTATGTAGATGTGTGCTGGGGTAAGTCCCAGTGAGCTGTAGACGGAGACGTCCTTGGTGGAGCCATAGCCAGCAACTATGGAGATCTCTGCCTGCCCAGGGACAAGAGCATTAGGGCAG